TGATGCTAGCCCACAAGTCCCTGATGCTAGCCCACAAGTCCCTGATGGTAGGGACATGTGGGCTAATCCCTGCAGTCAGGGCTGGTCTAATTCCCAGGCCTAATGTAGGTAGAAAGGGGAGGTGGGGTTAATCCATTCAGAACGTTGTAAATTAAACAACTATTTTTTTAATGAATAAAGTTTTAAAAACTGAGCATATTTGGAATATTTTTGGCCAGGTCTAATGTATTTAGAAAGTAGAGGTGGGGCTAATCCATTCAGAACGTTGTAAATCAAACAACTATTTTTATAATGAATAAAGTTCTCAAAACTGAGCATATTTGGAATATTTTTCCAAAACATTACCCTGGCAGATGGCCGCCCACCCTGAGCCATGGTTCTGCTCCAGGTTTCTGCCTCTTAAAAGGAAGTTATTCCCTCCCTGTGTCGCCCAGTGCTTGCTCATGGTGGGAATTGTTGGGTTTCTGTAATTAACTTCAGAGTAGGTCTGACCTGCTCTGTTTGGAAAGCTGTGAGATAAACAACTGTTGTTGTGATGTGGTGCTATATAAATGAAATTGAATTGAATTGAATTAATTTTAATTTTGTAATGTCATTGTCTGAACGTGTGTTTGGACTGATTTTGTATTTTGTGATTTTGTGTTGTCTTTACTTCCTGCCTCAGGACCACAGATGTAAATTAGCAACTATGCTAGAATCTGGCTCATTTACAATCTATATGAGATTGTTCATTAATGTGCACTGTCCTGATTAAATAAATAAATAAATGTTCTGACTCTGCCCCCCCCAGCCTGCACCATGCACCAGAGCCTCCTCCGGGGGGCGCCGGTGGAGATGGACGCCCGCAGCGTGGCGTCCGGGCTGGCGCCGCCGTCCGCAGGTGAGTCCAGCACACGAGGCCACGCCCACAACTGCAAAGGCCACGCCCACAACCGCAAAGGCCACGCCCCCAACAGGGCTGGGGCAGGGGGGCGGAGTCTGGGCTCAAAGGCCAAAAGGAGGTCCAGGTTTGAACAGTCTGGATGCAGGCGGGCCGGTCTAATTCCTGGAGGGTGGGTGGGTCTAATTTCCATAGGCTGGGCTCGGTCTAATTCCTGTAAACTGGGCTCTGTCTAATTCCGAAACACTGGGGTCAGTCTAAATCCTGTAAACTGGGCCTGTAATTCCTGAAGAACAGGCTCGGTCTAATTCCTGCAGGCCGGGTGTGTCAAGTTTCTTAAAACTGAGCTCAGTCCAATTCCTGTAAACTGGACCGGTCTAATTCTTGAAAAATTGGGCTCCGTCTAATTGCTGAAGACTGGGCCTGTAATTCCTGTAAATTGAGCATGATTTTATTCTTGAAGACTGGAGTCGGTCTAAAATTTAGACTGAGCCCAGTCTTCAGGAAATAGACTGAGCCCAGTTCACAGGAATTAGGTTGAGCCCAGTCTAAAGGAAGTAGACCGATCCTGTGTCCAGGAATTAGACCGGCCCAGTTTACAGGATTTAGACTAATTCCTGTGAACTGGGCTCAGTCTAATTCCTGAACAGTGGGGTCAGTCTAATTCCCGTAAACTGGGCTCAGTCTTATTCCTGAAGACTGTTTTTTTTTTTTTTTTTCACATTTTACAGGCGTCAGATTAAAGCATTTTTCACCTTGACTATCAGGCCTTTTAACCCCCAGACTCTGAAACACACGTCTGTGGGTTGTGGGTCTGTTCTCTGACCGTTCTCCTGCCTGGGGTCAGTCTAATTCCTGAAAACTGGGCTCAGTCTAATTCCTGAAAACTGGGCCCGTCTAATTCCTGTAAACTGGGCTCAGTCTAACTCCTGAAGTCCGTTTTTCTTTTCTTTTTTTTTTACATTTTGCAGTCGTCGGATTAAAGAATATCAGCAAACTTGATCAGTTTTCACCTTGAATATCCGGTCTTTTAACTTTAACTTTAAGTAAACTGGGCTCGGTCTAATTCCTGAAGACAGTCTTTTTACATTTTGCAGGCATGAGATTAAAGAATTTGAACCTTGACTATCAGGCCTTTTAACATTAACTTTAAGTCTGAAGCACGTCTGTGGGTTGTGGGTCTGTTCTCTGACCGTTCTCCTGCCTGGGGTCAGTCTAATTCCTGTAAACTGGGCTCAGTCTAATTCCTGAAAACTGGGATCAGTCTAATTCCTGTAAACAGGGCTCAATCTAATCCCTGTAAACTGGGCCCCGTCTAATTCCTGAAGATTGTGCTCAGTCTATTTCCAGAATAGTGCAGTCAGTCTAATTCCTGTAAACTGGGCCTGTCTAATTCCTGAAGACAGTTTTTAAAAAAAAAATTTTTTTACATTTTGCAGGCGTCAGAATAAACAATTTGAACCTTGAATCTAATTCCTGTAAACTGGGCTCAGTCTAATTCCTGAATTCAGATCAGATTAAAGCGTCAGATTAAAGCATTTGAACCTTGAATATCTTATGAATTAGATGAATATCTAATGAATACCTTTTAACTTTAACT